TTCTCTTTCTGCTGGAAATAGGTTGTTAACATCAAATTATAGGGTTCTTAATTTGGGATTCATAGATAGGTTTCTTGAAGCCAGTGGAATTATATACAAAATATATGTACATGCATTTTTTTTTTCTAGATCGAAGGTTCATAGCTTTCATCAAATTCTGAACATGGTCTGTGATAATAGCAAAAGGTCCATAAACAAATTCGATTCATAAGACTTAGGAGACACCATATTTTCTGTGTGTCTTTCACAGCACCACTTTGTCTCCTCTCTGCCAGACTTCTTCCTCTGGCCGCCGTAGGTGGGAGGAAATTATATATTTATTTTGTTAGGTTTGAAATAAATTTTATTCTAACATAAAAAAAATCTATACAATTGCCTACCAGAATAGATTTTTATTTATAAATTGTAAGACTTAATTGTTTATTTCTCTGTTCAAAACTTTAAAATTGACTTTGATTCTGCTGTCAGTCATTTTTCATATCTTGAACATTCCCAACATTTGTTCATTGCCTTTGAAAAGTTATTCTGTGTTTTCCTACTTTTAATTCCATTGTCAGTTAAGACTCCCATTCTTTTCTCTTTTTTCTTTGTCAACCCTATTAACTGATCCCATCCTTTTCTAGGTGGGTTATTGCAAAATATTTTTTCCTGGAATCAAGTCCATCTTTTGCCTGTAACCACATTGATCTTTCTGAAATAATTTCATCTCTACGTTTTATTGACTCTTCAGGAGACAGGGTTTTGCCTTGTCACCCAGGCTAGAATGTAGTGGTGTGATCGCAGCACACTGCATCCTTGATCTCTTGGGCTCAAATGATCCTCCTGCCTCAGCCTCTCAAGTAGCTAGAACTACAGTCACGTGCCACCAGGCCTACCTAATTTTTTTTTTTTTTCAGTAGAAAGAAGGTCTTGCTATGTTGCCCAGGCTAGCCTCCATCTCCTGAGCTCAAGCAATCCTCCCGCCTTGACCTCCCAAAGTGCTGGGATTACAGGCAGGAGCCACCATATTCAGCCTGGCTCTTCATTTTCTCCCATCCAAGTACTAACCAGGCCCAACCCTGCTTAGCTTCCAAGATCAGACGAGTTCTGGCACATTCAGGGTATTATGGCCATACACTAGCTCTTTGTTTTCTATGATATCATCCAAACCTATCTGACTATTGGGCCTCTGCAAAAAAAATCACACACATGTAAATAACAGAAAAAGAACATGTATTTCCCATTTTATTAAGCTAACATACTTTCTCCACTGTCTATGTTTAATTATGTCAACTTCTTTTAACTTTTCAAAAATGCTGTATTATTCCTTCCTCATTCCAGTTAGCTATTTTGTTGTTGTTTGTTTTCAGTGTCTCCTATGACAGGCAGCAGGCTGGGTTCTTATTCATACTCTCTTATCTGCCTGAAATGTCTTATCCCTCCTTCCCTATTTCCATCAGCTCAAATTCTACCTGTCCTTCAAGGCCTAGCTTAAGTGTGTCGGTGTGGTTTTTTTTTTTTAAGCCTGTCTTTATTCTCCAAGCTGGAAGTAATCTTTCTTTCCTCCTTTGAACATTCACTGCAACTTCAGCTGTACTTCTTAGAGTATTTAACTCTTTGTATATTTTAGATATGTATGGACTTTTTTTTTTTATAATTTTTTTCAATTTACTTTTCACTCCCAGTTTATGAGTGGAGGTATTTATGGACTTAATACTAACTTATTGACAGCAAATATGTTGTTTCTCTAGTTTTATAGTTATCCCAGCATCTCCCATTATCCTATGTCAATTCCAGCCTTATGTATATAATAGGTTCTTGGTAAATTTTTTTTTAATGAATTAATCTTCTTTTTTTGAGAGAGAGAGAGAGAGACAGAGTCTCATAGTCTTGCCCAGGTTAGAGTACAGTGGCTATTCACTGTGTGATAATAGTGCACTACAGCCTTGAACTCCAGGGCTCAAGTGATCATCCTGTTTTAGCCTACCAAGTAGCTGGGACTACAGGGGTGCACTACCACACCCAACAATCCAACAATAAATTCTTTTTAAAATGTAACTGTATTAGTCTGTTTTACGTTGCCATTAAAGATGTATCCAAACCGGGTAATGTATAAAAAGAAGGTTTAATGGATTCACAGTTCCACATGACTGGAGAGTCTCATAATCATGGCAGAAGGAAATAGACACATCTTACATGGTGGCAGACAAGAGAGAATTGAGATTCAAGTGAAAGGGGTTTTCCCTTATAAAACCATCAGATCTCGGCTGGGCACGGTGGCTCAAGCCTGTAATCTCAGCACTTTGAGAGGCCAAGGCAGACAGATCACAAGGTCAGGAGCTTGAGGCCAGCCTGACCAACATGGTGAAACCCCATCTCTACTGAAAATACAGAAATTAGGTGGGCATGATGGTGTGTGCCTGTAATCCCAGCTACTGGGGAGGCTGAGGCAGCAGAATCGCTTGAACCTGGGAAGTGGAGGTTGCAGTGAGCCAAAATTGTGCTACTGCACTCCAGCCTGGGTGAGAGAGTGAGACTCCATCTAAAAAACAAAGCAAAAAACCCATCAGATCTCATGAGACTCATTCACTACCTTGAAAACAGTATGGGAGAAACAGCCCCATGATTCAATTATCTCCCACCAGGTCCTTCCCACAACAGATGGAATTATGGGAGCTACAATTCAAGATGAGATTTGGGTGGGGACACAGCCAAACCATATCAGTAACTTAACCTTGTTATGCTTTTGAAAGTTCTTTCACTACTTTAAAACTCTTTCATTATAACCCTATTGGTGGCGGGGGCGGAGGGGAGGTTAGCAATTAATTTAAAAAGGCCTACACAAGCTATAATGACCATATAGTAGCTAGGTGTAAAATAAGAATCTAAAACTATTTGAAAAATCAGTCTATACTGTATCGCTAAAATTCACAATATTCTGTTCTAAAATACAAAAATAATGTAAGATTCTTGCCACCTCTGTAATGTGTAATATTGGTTACAAAATTAATTGAAGTCTTCTGATTTATAAACAATTATGTGTTTGTTTGTTGTTTTGAGTTGGTGTCTCACTCTGTCACCCAGGCTAGAGTGCAGTGGCTCGATTTTGGCTCACTGCAACTGCCGCCTTCTGGGTTCAAGCGATTCTCCTGCCTCAACCTTCCCAAGTAGCTGAGACTACAGGCGTGTGCTACTACACCCAGCTTATTTTTGTATTTTTAGTAGAGTTGGGGTTTTGCCATGTTGCCCAGGCTGGTCTCGAATTCCTGACCTCTGGTGATCTGCCTGCCTTGGCCTCTCAAGGTGCTGGGATTATAGGCGTGAGCCACCGTGCCCGGCCCAATTACGTGTTTAAAAAAAGGTGTTAGGGATATGCTAGAAAATCTCTGTGGGAATTGGAACAACTTTTGGAGATAGAGGAATATTGATTCCTTAAATAAATGGGAATTACTCATTTGGTCAAAATAAGTTGAGTAGTCCCTGGAACCTTTTTTTGTTTGTTTAGTTTTAGTTTTGGATTAGAACTCCTGGGCTCAGTTTATCTTCCCACCTCACTCCCTAGTGGCTGGGACTACAGGCCTTTTTTTTTTTTTAAATAGAAGAAATAAGTGGAGGGTGTTCTCTGATGAATAATTTCTATTTATAGGAAGTAATTTTTCCTTAACTGGTACCTGGGTAACTTGTAAAGGTTCTTTGGCATTGGCAGAGTCAGCTATATTTAGACTTCAAAAAGGAAACATCCAATAATGTGGATTTAAGCCTTATTTCTTTTCAGAAGCATACATGAGAAAATTAAAGGATGAAAGAAGTGATACAGCATTGGGGTAAAGGGCAGAGGCTTTGGAGAGAGAGTGGTAGAACTGGATTTGAATTTTGTCACTACTGCTGATAGAATGCTGAATTTCCTCCATTACTGGGAAGAAGAATAGGTTGGAAACAGGATGGCTCAGAATTTCTTTCCTGTATTCTATCCAAGATTGAAGACATAAATTGTGAATAGACATTTATTAGTTTATTTTGTTTTAAAATAATTTTATATTTTTAATAATACATGATCAAAAATCGAAAGAAACATAGATTGAATTTTTTTCCTCTCATTTCCCAATCATACTTTCCTTTCCAAGATACCAAAAATGTTGTATTAGTATCCTTCCAGAAATATTGAAAACATACATAAACATATATATTTCCCAATTTTCCCAAGTGATAGCATATATATCATGTTCATCTTGGAGTTATATATTCACATATATGAATCTTGGAGTTACATATTCATATATAAAGACCTTTATCAATATATTTCTTTGTTTTTACAATTAACTAGTATTTTTCTATGTACTACAATTTATTTTCATTGGTCCCCTATTGATGAATATTAGATTTTTTCCAACTTCTCTCTATTATAAAGGATGCTGCATTGAATACTTAAGTCATTTCACTTCTATGTGAGCAGTACTTCAGATTAATTCCTGTAAGTTCAAGGTGTTGATATTGCCAGTTTGCCTTCCATGGAGGTTGTATATTGATTGTTTGGGAATGACAAGGAAGCATGAAAGAGTATGAGGAATTAAATTTGTAAAGGAGTAGTAGTGACCAGGAATGACTGTAGTAGGAATGATATTAAAGTCAGTTGGGGGGATGGAAATGAGCCTACAGTCAAGAGCAGGGCAAAAAATTAGCAGGTTTTGTGTGTATATGAACACGATTTATTTGTGATTAAAATATACTAATGAATTTTGAAAAAAAATCCTAAAATTTTTACTCTTCAATCTATGTTTGGATTTTTAAAACATTTTTAAATACTTTTAAAAATATATTTACATTATTATGTAATATGATACATTAAATACATACTTATTTAATACATTTTTGATACTTTGTGATGAACTCTTTATATCTTTAAGAGAAAGTACCTTTGCTGTTTTCATTACTTATTTACATTTAGCGTTTATTGACCAAGATATTATCTCTTTATGCATAATTAGTTTTTTTTGAAATATGTCTCTCTTTTTTTTCCTCAGCCCTGGAAGAAAGCGGGACTTTTCCCCTGTTCCTTGGAGTCAGTATTTTGAGTCCATGGAAGATGTAGAAGTAGAGAATGAAACTGGCAAGGATATATCCTTTGCAAAATGGCTTATTCTTTAGTGAGCTTATGAGATTGTCTAAGTTAAAAGACTTGTGTAGTTTCTAAAATGTTCTTTATTTCTGCTGCTTATTTTACCTTATTCCCCACTTGTTCTTTATGGAATATTGCCTGCAAGTCCATGCCAATAACTTTCTTGGCTGTAATTCTCTAATGCATGGAGAAGGAATTAAGAATTAAATTATTGAAAAAGATATACTGTCTTAGAGACCCAGGGGAGGGTTTCATGAGTCAAGTAGGTTGAACTAGTTTTGTTTCTAGAATCCAGGGATTATGTACTCACTAAAGCAAAGGGAATTTTATTTTTTTAAATTATTGAACAAATGGTCACACTGGCTTCATGCTTCAAAAACAAGGTTGGTGTCTCAGAAATGTCTACTTAAGTTTCTCTTACATTTGGCAATCTGTAGTTTTGAATAAAGTTTCTAGCAATATTTTTATGATTAAATAATAAAAAACTTCAATGAGCAAAAACATAGATGTTTTATCTTTAACTGTTCATACACTTTTCGAGTTTACAAGAGTGGTTCAGAGGGTCCAGTCCTGCTCCTTCTACATGGAGGAGGTCATTCTGCCCTTTCTTGGGCTGTGTTCACGGTAAGTAGGTTGTTGATAGTACAAGTTAATGTTAGCACTTTTGAAGTAATTCAAGTATAGGGACAAACCTTGGAAGTTAAAACGTTCTATTTGGGAAGCAAGAATTGCTCTTCCGGGCATACACACAGACTGGGTGGTATGTCCTTTGGTATGTCTGAAGAACAGAGAAAAGGTTAGAGGTTTTGTAAAATGGAGAAATGTTACGTATTGCTCTGAGAAAGTTTATTGGCACTAGTAAAGGTTTGGGGAGAAAAAGAAAATAGGGAGTGATGGAAAATGTGAAAGAAAAACTTAAAAAAAAAGATTTCAGAAGCTGGCAGGTTCTGTTTGATAAGTGACTGCGGTTAGTAAAGTCTTAGAGCCACAGTGTTGTTTCGGTAGCTACTAGATAAAACTGGTTTCATATTATAGCAGGCAGTTTCAGCAACCAGACTTACAGAGAATTACATTCTTGGAGCAATGTTATGTGCCCTGAGTGCTTTTTCTCCCTGGCCTCTCAACTCTGTTTTAATGGGATATGACAAGAATAACCCAATTTGTGTAAATCTCCACAGTACAATCATTGTTTACTTCTGGGTGAATTGGACTATATTTCATGTTCACTTATACTGCTTGATTTAAGAAGCTTAGGGATATAGGAAAATCTGAATATTCATCATGGTAGGCTGAAGATTACTTATTTAAACCAGAAGTTTTTAACTGGGGTGGGTCTTAGGCATGAATTCCTCAGCTTATAAAATTTTGCATATATGTGGATTGGCATGGGGAAGATGAGATTTGTACCTTGTCAAAAGTGGAGGTCTGTGTCTCAGTAATCTACCTAATAAAGAAGCAGATATTTTATTTAGGTGCTTTAGATAATGTCTATCACTTTGTTTTCCATATAGAGCCTGTGTAATACTTAGTACAGTACATGGAAATAATCTCATAAGAACTTGGAAAATGTTTCTTCCTTTTTGAAATTATTCTTTATATTTTAATGATACTTGTTAGCTACAAGGAAGTAAATAACATTTGTCTAATGATACCCTGGTCGAGAATAGAGAATATGTGTCTGTGTGAATGCTGTCAATTGTAGGTCTCCTAATACTCTTGACTCTGGGGTGGGACAGCCCATGTGCAAGGAGAGATACTGCTAAGGAAGACACTAGCAACATCTGTGTTTAAAATGAAGTTGTCATCTCATGTGTTCATCAAGCAGATATGCATCCTCTGTTTACCACTAGAGAGCCTGAAGGACAGAAAATGAGAGCAAGAGGGAATCCAGCACTAGGCAGCTGGAGCCAGATGTCTGTGGAGTTGAGGAAGGCACTTTGTTCCTGGCAGCAGGGATTATTGGGGTTAAGTTTAAATCTTGTCCCTTCTTTTAGACCATGAATTCCTTGAAAATAGGGATAACATCTTATTTTTTGTTTTCCAAATGGCTTGAAACAGTTCTTTAAACATAGGCACACATTCAACCACAATTAAATGATTTGGCCCTTGTCTTATTTGCTACTTTTTCCTCTTACTCTAGGATAAATTGTATGACTTGTCCATAAGTACCAGGCTCTGTCACGTCTCTGGACCAGTACTGTTGAATAGAAATACAGTGCAAACCATATATAATATTTTAAATGTATTAGTAGACCCTTTAAATAGATAAAAAGAAAAAGAATAAATTAATTTTTATATATATATTTAACTATTGTATCCACAATGTCACTTCAACATGTTGAAGTAATTACACTGATTACCTAATCAATATAAAAATTGTTGAGTGATTACATTTATTTTTATACTTCTAAATTTAAAAATTTTGTACTTACAGCACATCTCAGTTAGGGCTAGCCACGTTTCAAATCGTTGCTTTAGTCATTTACTCTGCAAATAGATTGCAAAGTTTTTTGGAGGCAAATTCCATGGCTTATTATGCCTAGCACATGTTGTATGCTCAAAGAATTTTATGTATATATTTATTTTTTAAGACACGAAATCTTGCTGTGTTGCCCAGTCTGGACATGAAGGCTTATGAGTAATTTTCCACCATCTTTCTATTTTCTAGGTTTTCAGTTACATGTTTATTACTTTCATAATTTAAAGGTTTTTTCTTTTACTGGAAACTATTTTCAAGGAAAAAGGTTTTTTGACAAGTTTGGTAAACTGGAACTTGTCTAGAGAAGAGCAATCAAGATTAGAATACTTTAAACAATGGCATTTTTTTTCTTTTTCTTTTTTTTTAAATTGCATTTTAGGTTTTGGGGTACATGTGAAGAACATGGAAGATTGTTGCATAGGTACACACATGGCAGTGTGATTTGCTGCCTTCCTCCCCATCACCTATATCTGGCATTTCTCCCCATGCTATCTCTCCCCAACTCCCTACCTCTCCCATCCCTCTCCTATTTCCCCCCGACAGACCCCAGTGTGATGCTCCCTTTCCTGTGTCTGTGTGTTCTCATTGTTCAACACCCACCTATGAGTGAGAACATGAGGTGTTTGATTTTCTGTTCTTGTGTCAGTTTGCTGAGAATGATGGTTTCCAGTTTCATCCATGTCCCTACAAAGGACCCAAACTCATTGTTTTTGATGGCTGCATAATATTCCATGGTGTATATGTGCCACATTTTCCCTGTCCAATCTATCATCGATGGGCATTTGGGTTAACAGTAGCATTTTTAAGGAACAATTGAAGGAACTGAAATGGGTTGGCTTGAAGAAAAGAAAGACTTGGGAGACATAATATTTGTTTTCAGTTTTTTTTTTTTTTTAGTTTTAAAATAATACATTTTTATTGTCATAAACAAAATACATATTTAATATGGTGTGACATATAGAGCAGTATAAAAAGGAAAATTAAAGTCATTTAAAGTCTTACCAGAGATGATAACCATAAACATTTTGATTTATTTTCTCAGAATATTGTTTCCTATGCCTTTTATATTTTTCTTCATTAGTATATACTTCAAGCATGCAGAGGTACACAAACAGAAAATAATATAAGAAACACCCATATACCCACCATGGAAACTTTTAAAATATTGATATTGTCCTACATATATTTCATATTCTTTATATATATAGAGATAGATAGATATTTTATTGCACTTTAGGTTCTGGGGTACATGTGCAGAATATGCAGGATTGTTGTATAGGCACATGGCAGTGTGGTTTGCTGCCTCCATCCCCCCATCACCTATATCTGGCATTTCTCCCCATGTTATCCCTCCTCAACTGTACCCCCCGCTGTCCCTGCCCTACTCCCCCCACAACAGGCACCAGTGTGTGATGCTCCCCTGTGTTCATGTGTTCTCATTATTCAACACCCACCAATGAGTGAGAACATGCAGTGTTTGATTTCCTGTTTTTTTGTCAGTTTGCTGAGAACGATGGTTTCCAGATTCATCCATGTCCCTACAAAGGACACAAACTCATGGTTTTTTATGGCTGCATAGTATTCCATGGTGTATATGTTTTAAAATAATACATTTTAAATAGTATTCCATGGTATATATGTGCCACATTTTCCTTGTCCAGTCTATCATCGATGGGCATTTGAGTTGGTTCCAGGTCTTCGCTATTGTAAACAGCGCCACAACAAACATACATATGCATGTGTCTTTATAATAGAACGATTTATAATCCTTTGGATATATACCCAGTAATGGGATTGCTGGGTCAAATGGAATTTCTATTTCCAGGTCCTTGGGGAATCGCCACACTGTCTTCCACAATGGTTGAACTAATTTACACTCCCACCAATAGTGTAAAAGTGTTGTTATTTCTCCACATCCTCTCCAGCATCTGTTGTCTCCAGATTTTTTAATGATCGCCATGCTAACTCGTGTGAGATGGTATCTCAATGTGGTTTTGATTTGCGTTTCTCTAATGACCAGTGATGATTAGCATTTTTTTTTATATGTTTGTTGGCCTCGTATATGTCTTGTTTTGAAACTGTCTGTTTATGCCCTTTGCCCACTTTTGAATGGGTTTCTTTGTTTTTTTTTTCTTGTAAATCTGTTCTTTGTAGATTCTGGATATTAGCCCTTTGTCAGATGGGTAGATTGCAAAAATTTTTTCCCATTCTGTTGGTTGCCGGTTCATTCTAATGATTGTTTCTTTTGCTGTCAAGAAGCTCTGGAGTTTGATTAGATTCCACTTGTCTATTTTTGGCTTTTGTTGCCAATGCTTTTGGTGTTTTAGTCATGAAGTCCTTGCCTATGCCTACGTCATTAATGGTTTTGCCTGGGTTTTCCTCTAGGGTTTTTGTGGTATTAGGTCTTATGTTTAAGTCTTTAATCCATCTGGAGTTAATTTCAGTGTAAGGTGTCAGGAAGGACTCCAGTTTCTGCTTTCTGCACATGGCTAGCCAGTTTTCCCAACACCATTTATTAAACAGGGAATCATTTGCCCATTGCTTGTTCCTGTCAGGTTTGTCCAAGATCAGATGGTTGTAGATGTGTGGTGTTGCCTCCGTGGCCTCTGTTCTGTTCCATTGGTCTATATCTCTGTTTTGGTACCAGTACCATGCTGTTTTGATTACTGTAGCCTTGTAGAATGGTTTGAAGTCAGGTAGTGTGATGCCTCCTGCATTGTTCTTTTTGCTTCGAATTGACTTGGCTATGCGGGCTCTCTTTTGGTTCCATATGAAGTTTAAGGTGGTGTTTTCCAGCTCTGTGAAGAGGGTCAGAGATAGCTTGATGGGGAGTATTGAATCTATAAATCACTCTGGGCAGTATGGCCATATTCACAATACTGATTTTTCCTAACCGTGAGCATGGAATGTTTTTCCATCTGTTTGTGTCCTCCCTTATTTCCTTGAGCAGTGGTTTGTAGTTCTCCTTGAAGAGGTCCTTTACATCCTTTGTTAGTTGTATTCCTAGGTATTTTATTCTCTTTGTAGCAATTGTGAATGGCAGTTCATTCTTGATTTGGCTCTCTTTAAGTCTGTTATTGGTGTATAGGAATGCTTGTGATTTCTGCACATTGATTTTGTATCCTGAGACTTTGCTGAAGTTGTT